CACGACCGAACCATCGCCGAGACTCGTCAGAACCCTAACCTGATTAGAGGTCTGACTGTTATTATTAGATTGATTTTGCGAAGAAACAACCGAAACATTTTCGTGAAGAAGCGTATGATGTCGGTGACGACATTTTTGACAACGGAAAATAGATTTGCAGTCACTAACCGTATGAGAAGGTCGCAGACAGTTGAAGCACAGACGATGAGATTTAACAAACTCAATCCGTTCAGACACGGGGGTCTGTGCAAATTTATGACATAAATTGACAGAGTGATTTTCTGAACAGAAAGAGCAGGTTACGATTGGATGATTGGCTGATGACTGGAACAATGCATTCGAATTAAATTTAGTGACGTTAGATGATTGCAGTTGTTTAAATGAATGGGATGAGTTGGAAAGCAAAACTGAAGTGGATTTGTTACGCGATGCGGACGAATTTACTTTGGTTGATTGAACCTTTTCAGAAAAGCGCGGTTTGTTATTATCATTTGACGAAAAATGGGTGTCACGAACTAGCGCTTCGCATTTTGCGTAAAGAAAAGATTTCAAATCTTGATAAGAAGATAGTTCCATTATCGAGTTTAATTGTTCGAAAGCACAGCGCGTTTTTGTATCTAATTTTGATAAAATTAAATAAGAGAGAATAAAATCCCAATTTTCAGTAGGAAGGTTCAATCCCCTTAAAATATTTAGGTTTTCATTAAACAAATCCAAAGTGCGACGAAAATCGAAAGGAGAATTTATTTTAAAGTTTACATTTTGCATTTCTTTCCAACACGTAAACGCTAACTCGCGCTTATTGCGGTACCGGGCGATTAAAGTTTCGTAAGCCTCTCTGTAAAAAATACCTTGGACAGGATAAGTACGAATGAGTCCTAAGGCATCTCCACTAAGGTCGCAGTCGACGGTGCATGCTCAGACTCCAAATCCGTAAACGCTGGTGTTCCGCAAGGCTGTGTGCTATCGCCTACGCTGTTTCTTCTTCATATCAATAATATGCTTCAAATTGATGGCATTCATTGTTATGCAGACGACAGCACGGGTGATGCCCTATATACCGGCCGCGCCAACATTTCACGGGAAAACGTCATCGAGAGCCGGAACAAACTTGTATCTGAAGTCGAAACTTTGTTAAACCAAGTAACGAATTGGTGCCGACTTAATCTAGTCCAATTTAACCCTACGAAGACACAAGTATGCGCGTTCACCGCAAAAAAAATACCATTTGTCGTATCTCCTCTCTTTGAGAACACTCCTCTAACTGCCTCAGCGAGTATTGGAATTCTTGGCGTTGACATATCGAGCGACGTGCAGTTTCGGGATCATTTAGAGGGCAAGGCCAAATTGGCCTCTAAGAAGCTTGGTGTGCTCAATAGATCGAGAATGTACTTCACACCGGCCCACCGACTGCAACTTTATAAGGCACAGGTTCGGCCTCACATGGAGTACTGCTCTCATCTTTGGGCGGGGGCACCCCAGTACCAGCTTCTCCCTTTAGATCGCATCCAGCGCCGAGCGGCTCGAATCGTCGACGACCAGGAGCTCTATTTTTGAATCACTCGTCTTGCGTCGAATGCTCGATTTCTACTAAATTTCATTCGTCATAATTTATTCCGTATTTTTGAATCGCTCGAGTGCAACGAATGGGTGAGACCACTCGCTGCATGGCGAATGGTGGAGGCGAATGATAGAATAATTGTCAAATTTTTTGTGCTATTAGACGACGATTTTTTTTTATCATGCTTTATATGAAACGACTACGAGAATTTTTTTCTCGGTTTTCATTGCGGTAATTGCCGGTTTTTATTTTTTCTGCGTGAAATGAGAAAAATTTCATATTTAATATTAAACAGGTAACACCGGTGGCGAATGATTCAAAAATACGGAAAATCAGTATTATGCGACTTGAAAGTCGAAGGTGACTTATGTCGCATTCGACGATACTATGTCAGACGAGTGATTCAAAAATAGGGCTCCAGGACCTTTCCGATCAGCTTGATCCTTTGGCTTTGCGTAGGGATGTAGCATCGCTCTGCATCTTCTATCACATTTATCACGGAGAGTGTTCTGAGGAATTGTTCGGATTAATTCCAGCTGCTGCATTTCGCCATCGTACATCGCGACAAAAATTTCATCCCCATCATCTTGATGCGTGGCTATCCACAACCGTGCGTTTTTGTCGAAATTTTTTACCACGTACGACAAAACTGTGGAATATATTGTCGCCAGCAGTGTTTCCGGACCAATACGACCCAAAAACCTTCAAAAAAAGAGCGTACTCCTTCCTTAAAGGCCGGCATCGCATTTGTGATACTCCTGGTGTTGCAAGTGTCCATGGGCGACGGTGTTCACTTACCATCAGGTGAGCCGTCTGCTCGTATGCCACCTATAACATAAAAAAAAAAACTAAGGCTAGATACTTAATAATGCATACGTTCTGTGTCTGTGAGTGATTCATTATTGTGCACCAATGAATTAAAAATATCGTAATATTCAGGCCACGATTTAATATGCCCCGAAAATGTAGGTAATAGGCTAGTTGACCCTTTTTGGAAAAAGGTTTTAAATGGTTAATAAATGTTCTATTAGACCGAAAAAAAATGTATTGTATTTTTTTAAACCTAGAAAGCTACAAATCTTTAATTTTAAAATAGACTTTTCATGGACATACAAAAACGCTGTCGGCCATTTTAGTCTATAGATTATCTATGCCATGACGTGAACTGTGGTAAACAAAAACTCGTAAACACGTAGAAAGTTACTTAAAACTGAGTTTATAATAAAAAAAAAACATGATTTCTAATAAATACCACGAAAAATAAAGTAATTATCATTACTGTATTGTACGAGAATATAAAAACACTTGAAGACTCCAGGAAAGTTGTGGATTAAAGTGCCGAAAGAAATTAACCTACGCAACTTTATTACACTTATTCATATGTTGTATGAGTTTTATGTTTATTACTACATTGTAATACTAAATGCACTGTACTTACATAGATGCCTTATCGTTTCTCTGCTCCGCAGAGCAGAAATCGGGGTTTAGTGCAACATATTCACCAACCATCAATGCATCAATTCTTGGCAGATTTGTGCTTTCCGCTTTCACAAAGCCGGCAACCATAATTAGTTTTGTCAAAAAAAAACTAAGTTTACTGTTTATTTCTTTCCTAAAGTTAAAAGTGTTTTAAGATAAATTTAGTCAGACGAAAGAATCCACCTACAATAACACGCGAATGACTTTTAGTTGTTTACCACAAGAGACGTCAAAATCATGGCGAACGTGGCGAACAGCGTTTTTAGTGTTTAAAAAATATAGACTAAAAAATATTTTTTAAAATTAAATTTCTACAGCAATCTTCTGCTTTTATGAAGTGAAATCGATATATTTAGGTTCCTTAGACCAAATACTTTAAGAAATAAACATTTATTTAATACAATTCGACATGAGTAAACTAGCCTATTGTAATTTAGGCAATTTTAACTTATAAGTACTTGAGCGTTCTAAAGCGGTAGGTAACGATTGATTTAATTGACTTTCATTTGAAGGAACGAACTAACGGTGCAAAGCCAAAATGTGAAAATATGTTTCATCAAATTCGGCTCGTAACGGAACAATATCGAAATCGAAAACAATATATCGGAATGCGAATCTTCAAAATTATCGACTATTTTTTGCAATGTAGAATAATGAGCAATAAATATGTCAATTTGAGTAGGATCAGTTTTAGCCAGTTCTACGACAGCAAACATCTTCCTCAAACGATTAAAAGCTAAAGTACGTTTACGGCGCAATGTCGATAAATCGGCAACAGTTAGTCCATCATCAATAGGTATACATTTTGTATTGCGCTTTTTAGCCATGGTATCTGGTTTAGAGCGGCGACGTATATTGTATGACATGTTAGAAATGTATATAAATAAAAATTAAAACGATTTAATTTTGTCCTGGAAAAAAATAAAAATCACTGTAGGGTGACAGTGATCCTTATAGCGAAAATTAAGTACGGGACGAAGCGTAATAATGTAATATGCAAATAGAACAAATAGAATCGTTCGTATGTAAACCAAAATATTTAAACGCAATTTGCAAAATCTATAATGTCATTTAGGTATAGGTCACCTTTTTACGTACTCAGCTGATTACCGAAAAAATGCGCCTTAGTTATCGGTTTATATATTGAAACGCTGTGAAATCGATTAAAATGTTAATAAATGTCTAAAAGAATTCAATATATTCATATGCCTTTGGTTAAATTACAATTTTTTACCAATAAAAATATTATGAGGTAGTTCGACTATGAAATTTCGAATCGAGAATTTACGTTAAATTTAATAATTTTGAAAAGTATTTCGATGAAATACAAATTAAATTGACTATGTTCAATGAAATTAATAATTGGGAACTGAGTTTAACTAGAAAAAATTAAGAAAACATATGAAGGTGCGACTTTAGTTCCCGGGTTTCGGCACCATAAAATATGTATTGTTATTGCAAATACATATTGGGGGCAGCCGATATAAGTAATTAAAACGATTGAAAAGGGGCTGCAACGAGATAACGATAAATACACAATTACGAATGGGTTTGCTAATAGCGTAACGTACTCACGTTTGAAACCTTTGTCGGAAGCTTGTGGTCCGCGTATTCTTCTAGCTAGAGGGGCACATGAACAGCACACACAGTCATAGAAGAAATTCACAGTTTATTGTTGACGAATTCCACTTGTTTGGTATACCGCACGTAAAGATTAGGGTTATACGATGTTAGCGAGTGCGCGGGCGCGGAACGGAGTGACGTAGGTCCTCTCGTGTGATCAGTGGCTAACTGTCTGCGTTAGGCTAGTAAAAAACCACATTCGCAGATGCATCGTTCTCGTTGCGAACCTACCCACATTTAAAATAATAAATAAGTAACCACGATTAAGTGATAACGGAACAATCAGTATATGGTAAAGAGGAAGTGGTGTTGTATAAAGTGGTTGATAATGGTGCAGGAGGGCCGCAGCCGCAGCCCGTTGGAAAGCGGGGTGGGGTCGGGGTCAGGGGCGCTGGGCCGCGCTCTGTGCCTGACGCCTCGAGGCAGCCCGCTCCCAGGCCGCGTGTCGCATCTGAGCGACCGCTTCCAAGACTCGCTGTCACTCAACGCCGACACGGACGCGCTGCTCGCAAAGATAAGCGCCATGTTCCCCACCGTCAGCGAGACGCACATAAAGATACTTCTGAAGAAGTGAGTACTGCTCATCAGTGGCAGAGTTGCCATCCGTTTCGATTTTGGCCGTCGTCGGTATGTGGAACAATGTACGTTCCATGCCCAGATGATGGCGTTATTAAACTTGACAGCAAATAAAGTGGGCCAGCCGCTAGTACCCACTCTGATCTGCAACATTTTCTGAAAACTTAAAACCATCAAAGCTATATTTACCTATAGAAAAAGCGTTACATGATGCTTAAAATGACTAAAATTTTATTCTAAAGCACTGTCAATTTACTTTGTAACCAAACAAGACACATAATGCTAACGATTTGATAATTTGTGAATAAATCTTTGATTATTGTTCTTTTTTATAAAATGAGGATTATACATCATATTATAGGTATTATTAATAAACTAGCAAACCAGTGAACCAAATGTTCACCAAAAAAAAAAAGTATTTAATTAATTGAGAACTTCGGAGATTTTGTGTGGTTTCGTTTGAAATAGAAATCACGTGATTTCTCGAAAACCGGAAGTGCTACGTTACTCACATCCGGTTTGTAGTCTTATCAGACTATTCTTAACTTATAACTTAAGCATTCTCTATATCTATCTCTTACGGTTTGGCCGCTGAAACAGCACCACGGACGGACGGACAGACTTGTCTAATAGATAAGAGATCTTATCATTTCTCCAGCTTACGTCTATCGTTTTCTGAGATGCGTTTATTTTTACTAAGTTTTATAGCTACTGATTAACACAACAAATGTAAATTACTCTTCTGTATTTTTTTTATTAAATCAAACAATAAGTTGATATATCACAAATAGTTCCTGTTCATTTTTATCGTCATGAAACGCACATTCTGTTCGTGTAACTTTACTTGTTGGAAGTTTTATACTTTTTGAGAAAATCGTATCAGAGTTCCAAGGTAGCAAGGGGCCTGGTTTATGTGCTTTGCTATACAGTGTATTTATTCATTACACGTCTATTGGTGTGTGTGGGTGCATGCAGATACTACAACCGCGAGGCGGTGGTGATAAGCGCGCTGCAGGTTGAGAAGCATCCTATCACGACGCCGGGCCCCGTGGCCATGTCCCCGGGCGGCGCGCGCCACCACGCCCGCGTCTCTCTGCACGGATCCGCTCACTTCACCGCCACCACCGCCACTAGTACGCCGCAAGGTAACTACCCACCTCAACAACCCCTAACCTACCCATTACACACGCTACAATTACAACAAAAAGCACTACACTATATCACTCACTACCTACCTTACAACACTATAAACTATACTAACTATCTATTGGGGGCTACCCACTAAAAACCCGACAGTGCTTCCTCGCCTGCCGGAACGGGTTTCGTGGGATCCTGGTGACTCTCCACGTTACCGCCGACAGGGTTTCTCCTCCTCCTGGCAGTCAGGGGGATGCCCGGAAGCACCTACGCATCCCTCCTCGACGGGTGAGACAATGCGGACGACGGACCACCCTGTCCGCCGTCCGTTAGCCTCACTAGGGTGGAAAGAGGCGGTCGTACCGCCGCTTCCTACCACCCCGCCGTCGGCGTCGGAGAGAGCCGGCCCGGGCGTCCTCCTCGCGGGCCCTCTCCGCTATCTCCTTCTAGAGGATGATTTCCTCACAGAAGGAGGCTACCGCAGTCCAGGATCTGTCGCTGTCCAGCATCGCTCTAACGACGCTGGGCAGCGAGAGATCCCGTCCTATTGCCATGACTATATCATGGCGCTGCCGGGATCACGACAGGCACTCCTCAAGGGTGTGCTGCGCCGTGTCCCCGACAGTGCCACAATGATGGCACGACGGTGTCGCTTCTCTCCGTATGGGATGCAGGTAGCTGCCAAAGCATCTATGCCCTGACAGCACCTGCGCCAGACGGAAGGTCAGCGACCCATGCCTCCTCTCCCTCAATTGGTCGAGCACTGGGCGCAGCGCCTTCAGGGTCCTGGTCCCATATTGCTGCGTCCCGAGCTCCTCAGTCTACTCTTCCAGGTGGAGCTCCTCCAGCCGCCGCCTGTGGGTGATAACCTCCTCCGGTGCTAATCGCTCCCCTCGCTGCCGGACCTCCGCCTTTTTCCAATATAGGCGGGACAGTGCTTTCGCCTCCAGCGCCCACGGGGGACCCTGTAATTGCGCAGGCGCAGTAAGGCCTCGCTCCTCGCGTCTATACACACTGTCCATATGGGCGCCTCATAAAAGGGCCATGCTCCTAATGACCCCAGCATATAGTGTCCGACAACTGGCGCTGGGGCCACCGACATTCGGCAACAGCCTGCTGAGTGCCGCCGCCGCGCGCGCATATCTACCTAATAACCCTTACACACACTCGACGTGTGGTGTGGGAAGTAGCGAGGAAAGGAGGCAGGAACGTATTGTGGGAACATAACTCGTCATGCCCACTGCTCGTTGCCACAGCTACATCGTCCATTGTATAGCTAAGGCAATAACTAAGTGCGGAGCTTCGGCAATAATTGCGCGAGTAAAGCTGTGTGTATGCAGAGATGGCAACACCGTGGCAGGATGAGGAGCAAAGCGATAAGCAGCGCGAGGAGCATAGTGTGGCTATAAGTTACATACTAAAATTACAACACTATACACTATACTATGGGTTGTCATATTGATTGCCCTGTGGCCTTTTAAAGTATGACTCGCATTATAGCTTCTTATGTTTACGCGGGCAGGATCGCCGTCGCTTTTCCGGCCGGCTTCGGGGGCATCCAGCTACGGCGCAGGCCGCTCCGCCGATGGCCAGCCCCGCCACCAGTCGCCCAAGATGAAACTCAAGTATGACAATCCTTTAAGGATAGCTATACACATAATCGCGACGGCATAGTCGATTCGGCAGTATTTTTCGAACAACAAAGTCGACCCGTAGTAATTACTGCGGAACATTCATCTACACAAATTCGATTTTACCGCCGGTAAATGCCGGCCCGCTTATGTGTGTAGCTACCCTAACGCTACGGCCACATTATCGCGCTATCGCGAACATTTTCCGTTTTCATGGCAAGTCGGGCCATTTCAGAACACGGTCATAAAGGTTTTTGTTTTGTTGTAATTGCTTGGTTAGATGCGAAGGGAAAACGGTAAATCTTCGCGTTATCGCGATAGTGCGGCCCCAGGTACATTAATTGACTTCACTGCTTCAACTCACATTCCTTACAAGTCGTGTCTTTTTTCTTTTTTTATACAGCATAATTGCAATCTTTTCTATCATTTGGGTCTTACTCTAGCATTATTCTCTTAACTCTAATCTAAAGGACAATGGGCAAAACGCACCCAGCTCCGCCAACAATGTAATTAGTATGAATCGATAGATCTATAAAAAACTAGCCTTTTTTATTATGACACCGAAAATAAATATCCTGGGAGTCAAAAGATATGACACCGTAAAAAATATCCTGGGCATATTTAAGTAGCTGAATAAATTCATTTTATAATACCTTCATTTTATATTATTAGTAATCATAATAATATGCCATATCGTACTATACAACCAGATACACGACAAAGCCTGCCGACCATCCTGCGCTTGCTCTATCTGAGACATTTCAAAACGGTTTACGGATGCTGAAGGACTTGCAGTTGCAAATAGTCGACTCGTCTTACTTCGTTGTGATTGTGCGCTCCCTGCTATTTGATTGATTTTTAACTAACACGCTTTGGATATTGAACACGATTTTCGGATTTGTCAATTAGTATGGATGAACTGAAATCATGTGTTCTCCGAAGCGTGGACAAGTTTGTGTAATCTGTGGTCGCTCCGTTTTACATAGAAGACAATTTACTATATTTATTTATTTATTTATACTTTATTACACAAAAGTATGTACAAGTGGCGGACTTAATGCCATAACTAACGAACAGAATGTTTTTTAATGATTGAATGATTTACTCTAGCGCGGCAGAATAACATAAGGGGGCACGCTTACACCTTGTGAAGTACTCCCATAATTCCGGAGCACACTATGTAGGGTCGAACTAACTAACTAAATTAATTCCTTTGTTTCATAAATGTTCGTTCGTTATAGTACTTGTACATATTAAACTTAAAATAACCCCCGGGATGGAATTTGATCCCGCGCTTTGGCACAGATGATCTTGAATATAATACCTTTCAAACAAATGTACTTTAAGCCGTGGCGGACGTGGACGCTGCGTCCATACATTTTTGCCCAATTTCCTTTGACAACAATGTATCTATCCTTAAAATGTTCTGTAGCATATAAGAAAGAGATACTGCTTTTAAATTCAGTTTTAAGTTTAGAGAATTATAGTATGTTTTATTTAAGCATTTATCTGCTAGTAATATTTTGTAATCAGAAAAGTTTTACTTTACTTTAAGTCTGGTCATGTTACACACCAGGCTAAAAGTAAAGTATGATGTTCAAAAACACTAGATTCTCGTAATGCCGATGTGCGGGCGCCATGTACTTCATACTTCAATAATAAGTCCATGGGGCGTTCGCTAACAAAACGATACGATACAAGTTTCTGATTACAAAACTAACGAGCACAAATCCCTATCAAATTTAATAACAGTTTATCAAAATACATTAACAAGCGTATCGATAACTATTTATACATTGATAAAAGCAAAATTTACATTCGTATCCGATACATATTTTGATTCATTCATTCACTATTGACGGAACATTATGTTCTGGTGACGGCTTTATTGGTATATTTTAAATTGATATGTTTACATTATTGTGAGAGGAGGAGCTCGACGGTGCAGGTGGTTAGCGCATTCGGCCTGCGATCGTAAAAGTTAAGTAACTTTCTAATGATCGGTCATCGGCTCGGTGACCAAAAACTTATTGTCTCATGCTCCTCCGTGCTTCTGAAGGAACGTTAAGTCATTGATCCCGTCTGCATCTAAACTCGTTAGCATCCACCAACGCGCACTGCGCCCGCATGGCGGGACACAACCCAGTCTCCCTATTCCATCCATAGGGAAGGCCTGTGCCCCTGCAGTAGGGACATTAATACGCTGATGGTGATGATTATGAAAACATTACTGTCCCGCTTAGGTATTTGAAGAGCATATTCCCGAAGGCGGAGGAGACGTTGATCCTGGACGTGTTGGCCAATAAAGACAACAACGTGCAGTTGGCCAGCGAAGAGCTCCTGTCTATGGGATTCCCGCGCAAGGAGCCAGTAGTGCCCCCCCAAAGGAGGGACAAGGAAGCGTTACCCGTAGCACCGACTGTCAACAAGATCCTCAATGTCATCAAGACCGCCGAAGAGAAAGCTCAACGTGAGTTACTCATACATACATAATTACAAACACTCACGCGCATACAAAGCCCAACACTTAATAGCAACATTATATGCAACAACAGCAAATATAGCAACATTTAATAGCGAAAGAAGAAATATAGCTACACGGCTATAAAGCAAATATCGATTTTTTAAATTTTACATGTCATTTCATGAATATTCTTACACTCACACGCATATACACATCTCGCCTGTGATAGGTAGAAGGTTTTCTAAGCTTTTAAATTTGTTACATCAAAATAACATAGTTTGTATTGATAAACAAGTACAAGTAAATACTTTGTCGATAAGTAGGGCTGCCATCTCTAAAATGTGGTAACCAGGATCAGAGGCGTGATAACCCCGGATTTTGGAGCCCAGAACCCGGACAGACCAATAAAAAAACAGTTAAAAATGTCACAAATCAACTTTTTTTTGTTGATGTAGGCAAAAGAGCTAGCGGTCTACCTCATAATAAGTGGTCACTGCTGCCCATGGACACTTGAGCACGAAGGAAAGCTGATCTTTGTTGGATGGAAGTCTGCATTTATGGTTACAGTGTTAGAATAGATTTATTCATTTTCAAAGACATTTACATTTACGGATTAATTGGCAACCCAAAACAGGAAATTTTTAAACCCGGACGACAAATGAAACCCCCCCCGGACGCCCCGTAAACTAGGACAAATCCGGGGAAATTCGGACGGATGGCAGCCCTATCGATAAGTAACCAAGTCATTATTTGACACTAGAATTAAAAAAAAAATGGTTACTTTGCAGCGAAAATACTGACTATTACTTGGTTATAACTCGTGCCAATAAAAAAACGACGGGTTGCACTCCGGGAGTGGTGCCGGCAGAAGTGAAAACTTGAATATTAACGTTGTGCATTTTTGATATTTTGGAATGTTTAGGGAATAATTTTGCACGAATTGCTTTAATTTAACAGTAACATTTTATATACATGAATTTTATGACTACACAGCAGTATGGCCACTACACAGACGGTTGAGCCATCAGCTGTCACCATCTATGGATGCGCGTGGCACGCTGTAACATAAACACACACGAACATTCGCGCAAGCGCCCTGTGCCGCCTAAACGAAACAGCAGGCGCAGGCATACAATTTCGCTGCGCCGTAGAAAGAGAGGGGGATACTATCTCTCCTACGCCGCGCTGGCTGTCTACTCTCCATCCGTCTTACGAATTTTCGATCAGGTCACGTGTCCTGACCGAGTTTAACATTTTTTATAACACATTTGCTCGTAAAGCGTCTCTTATTGCACCAATTTCAATATCATAATCTATGACATTACACACGCGTGCGGTAATGTAAAGTAAAACGCACGGCTTTTTATGTTACGAATAAAAACGAACGATGCTTTTCTAAATCTTAGCAAAGAGTTTTCTGTCAGAAAGGTAGCCAACATTTTCTTAATAAAATCAACTTTGGGAGATAAAATATAATATATAAACATTTAATTCTTTATTTTGATTCATTTTGACAATAAATTACAACCATTTATCGGTAAGAAATTTACAAAAATATTAATTTGATTTTGCCTAAAAAAAGCGTTGATGCGCGCGCATCGTTAATCTGTGAAAAGTTTTCTTTTTCTTTTCGCTGTATTGTTTTTATTTGAAATTATTGTCAAGTAGTAACGAATTTATTAATTTGACACCGCCAGAAGTCGAAAAAGGCTACGCTAAGCCTCTTGCCCGAAAAATCCACGGATAGAAACTTACAGTCAAGCGTATCAAAATGACAATGACAGATTCTGACCCACCATATATAGTAATATTAAATTTATGAAAAAATATATATAACTTTATTTCTCGTACGGATATAATTATTACTTTGTAAAAGCGGCGGATACGAAATAAATATTAAAATAATTTGTATCTACTGTTTCCGTTAGGAGAAGAACGAAAACATGGCATATGCGTTTTGTTTTACGACAAAAAATAAAATGTCAGTCAAGTTTTCCAAAAATATCGTTTTCTTTTTTAACATTATGGATAAAATACGCATTTCGGTTATAAATATAATTATTTTATGTTTATAAATAAGTTTAACAATTCTAGTACCTTTTATTTTTTATGCGCATACACATTAAGTGGTAGTAACTATGTGAAACTAAACGTTATTCTGGATGTTTGACATTTCCGTCAAACAAAAGGATTTGGACGACATTGTCGTTTTTGATTTGGAACCATGTTGAGATGCATAAATTGTTATTTATGTGTCGATAGAATACAAAGGCATGTCGTTTATACACTATCAGCTACAATACGGACACTGTTGAATTCATGGATATCGTTACAACAGGTTTGATTGATAATTTGATAAAACAAGATATAACGAAGTGGCATTCTCATATTTAAACATTTTATTGAAACATAAATATTTAACTAAACTGTTCTTTTAGCTACGACCTGAAGCAGTATTATGTCATGAATGTTACTTGCGGTTAAATGATCATTGTCGAAATGGAAACATGGAAGCTGCAAGAGAATTGGGAAAAAACTGATAAAAAGATAAAACGAAAGAAATGAACAATATAAAGTTAAAATTAGTATTTTATTTATTGAAAAATACCTCTGCTCTTAAGCGCTGTAAGAAAAGTATTAGTAATAATAATATACTACTACTAGAATAGTCGCGATATACAAGACTTCACTGTAGCACTATTTGTTAGCTAGGTTTTGCTAGACCTAGACGATTCTAAAAAAAGGGACGCATTGTTGCTTGTTTGTATAAAATATGTCTAATGTAGCGTATATATATATATTTCATATTCGTTATTATTACAATTATTTAAACTATGAAGAGAACTATTTGAATGTTTGCCTGTAAGGCATAAACTGATAACAATCGAAAAACAGACGAATAGGTACCTAGAAACTACCTATTCATTGAAGTAATGAAAGCACCTACTTAATAATTTATAGAAATTCCAATTTTCTGCTCAAATTGCAGCTCGAGAAAAGTATGATAATTGTATTCTTTGTAAGTATATTATTCAATAACCGCAGCTTTTAGAGAATTTACAACTTTACTATTTTGATTTCTAATATTACAGCTTACAGCTAATGTCATTTAACGCATTCGTGTACACCAATTTTATCGGGTGGGTTAAACCTCTATAGAACTTCTGGCATTGTCCTTTCATCTTATGGAATACAAACAAAGGTGCAAATTCATTTTCAGAAAGTACGTACGTAGGTAGTATTATTTCCTCGCAAATGTGTTATAAAATAAAACGTCGTATGACATACGTGTGGTTTGATAATTACAGCCTCTGCCTTCTTATAGCCCTCACCTACGGGCTAACAATATCGCCTCGGCTGTAATTCTCAACTTACCGCACTTATATCATAATGTACTATTTTTTTTGTACCCATTACAAAAAAAAATTACAACGCCCCTAAAGAAGTTTTCACTTCAAAAAACGAATAACGACGTAAGACATTCTGTCCCTCTCGCACTATCCTAAGTAAGGTGTTGTAGTCACCGATATTTAATACTTAATATAATAATATTTAGAGTATTGAATAACGTTGGTTAGAGAGCTTGCCTCGGTATTTTCGATTCGTTTCTTAAATGGCACAAGTTATAAAAAATCACCTTTTTCTCAGTTCTTATTTTGATCCATTTCTTAAAATGAAATGAAAAATGTTTCTCAAGTCATTATCATTATACTTAAGCAGAAGTAATGTCTTTTACATGTTTATAAATACGACGGTAAGATGAAATTATTATAAAAACCTATATAAACATAAGAAATTGCTGTGGATTTTGTCATAGAATTAAATAAATAAACCACATAAAAGAGCACCTGGTTGTGCCAAGCTAGTAGTAGTAGCCTTAACGTGATGCCACCAAACATCGCAATTCAAGTTTGCACCTAAAGAGGGTTTCTGGAATACGGGCGCAAGGTGGCAGACCTGAGCCAAAAGGTCTACTCATCCGTCAAATCACGTATGTCGTCATAGTCTATGGATCAATTAAAATGCTCGATGGATTAATACGCTCCAAAAACTTCATACAAAAGACCTCATGTAACGTTGAGCCAACTGGTGACGTTTTCCTAAACACCCTCATTGACGACATCCATGGAGCGAGTGATATGTAGGTCGGGTTTCAAGGTGTCCCTTACTTACTCCCGCATTCGAATCATCATCAATCATGGATGACGTAATCTAAAGCCGGGTACTCATCAGCGAGCTGTAACCGCACATGCACTGTAACCAAAAAGCATAGTGTGTACGTGGTTCGCTAACCTTCTGCGAGCTGTACGCGTGCGGTTTGCAGCGAGCCGACGTTTACAACTGAGCTACAAGCGTACACACTAGAACCTCGTACTGTATCACGCATGTTACGGTTACAGCTCGCTAATGAGTACCCGGCTATAACGCGGCTTACCCTACGCGCGTGCCACGAAGTTCCAAGTTCAAACAAAATTCATTAATGCGGATTCTAGTGGGGATCCTTGATAGAGTCACTATTTATTTTAACTATTGGTTGGTATGGTACCCATGCAAAGGGTATTTTAAAAATTACAAGTCTTCCCAATTCTTTCGTTATTAGAATGTAGTATTACTTGACAGTTCAGGATTGGTAATGATTCATTATCTATTAATGAAAGAAAAGTACCTGTATAATGTGTTGATTTTTTCCTTTGTCCATAATGTAAATTTATCAATCAATATGATTACAGCATAGAGAGCAGCTTCAAGATAAGATTTAAATTATATTTTTTTGTGGTATATAAAGATAATATTAGTCATAGATCAGCTTATATATAGTCTCTATCTTTGACGACTTCCGTTGTAGTTATCGCACAGTGGCTTTCATGGTGATATCATTAGGATTAAATCAGGAGGGTTTATATAAAAAAGACACTTCTTTATACAGTCTCGAGTCTGTGCGTGATATCTTCCTTCAGCAACTAGATATTGTTAACATTACGTCGTCATTCAGTCTGGTCGGTTATTAGCAGTTCTGAAAGTTGAACCAATAAGCTATCATCGGTTGGTATATCTATGCCTAGAAACCGTGTTATTGTTAGAAACAAACGAGGGACTCAGTGCGGGGTATTTTTTATCGGATCGGATATTCAAGATAAATTGATATCGAAAGACACTAAAAATATACAACAACAAAAACTCTTGAAACTCCACTTAAACGTGGAAAGTAAAAATTAAAAAAAAAACACTATACCTACGCCCTCTAACCATTCTATTAGGCAACCCTTTATATGAAATGTCGTGACAAGAGTTGCTGCATCACGCACCTATTGTTTTCCTTGGGCGTATGACACAAATTGTTAATTTTCTTGACTGGGTGAATTCCTAATCAGTCTGTGTTTTGGTGGGATATTAGTAAAACAACAGCTGCAACAGAAGTACCCAGGCGTTGCGGAACGCGTGGTGGTGCTGGCTTTAGAGAGCGCCGCCTACCGCCGCGACCGCGCCGACCAGATCCTTGCCGCCGCGCTGCAAGAATCTCTACCCACCGCCACCGCTACCGCCACCGGCACCACTACCACCGCCACCGCCCGCCCGACGTCCACCGCGACTACGCAGCACGAGTGAGTACATGTACCACACCACTCTATACCTTGTACATAACACAACATTATGAACACACTCATATAATATATGGCGCAATAATAATTTGCTCTATGAACACACTCATCTAATTAATTGTGCAATAATTAACGTTCTCTAAAAGTATATTTGGTTATCTTTGTCGAGAGTGTCCTCAACAGCTTTTTATAAGATTTTCAATCTGATTGCATTGAAACAGATGTGATTACTTCACTTTACTGATTAAAAATGTTCATGTGACAACATCACTAGATAGATAGATCTTCTACATCGATCTTGAACTTATCTCATAATCTGGAAACTCTAAGTCGTCGACGCATTTCTCAGCAGTATTCTCTCGTACACAAACGACACTTTATGATTTGACGCCCCGCGCTTCTTAGCTTGTTTCACGGGCCGCTGCATACCTGTACTGCGCTGCTATTTATATTCATGCTATCGAATTTGATACAGATTGATATTTGTGTACTATTAAAAATATTTGTATGATACTTATAATTATTGTTTTTAAGCTTTATCACATCTCACGATCAAGTCGATACAATAGTAAATATACCTTCTTGTCAGAAGGTGAACCTTCTGACAAGAAGGTATGCACATTTTTAAAATCATGATTCTTTTCAATAAATAACTGTATCTGTTCCAATATAAGTACGTTATGTTCATATTATACACATAAACATAAATAACAACCTGGTTGAAAATATGAAATGATAGAAATATATCAGGTTAGCATATAGCCAGCAGTGACTTGTAGGTACATGTGTGCAGTATGTCATTAACATTCTCGTTTCTGTTTGATCCAAGAGCGTGCTCACGCTACATTATGGGTGTATTCCGAATCAAACACCAGTACGCTGGTCAGTGGTAATGACGTCATGATTTCGACGCCATATTGAATACATTACTACTACACAAGTGCAACATGGCGTCCAAAACATGACGTCATTACCGCTGACCATACTGGTTTAAATAAATATTGTTCAAACCACGTGTCAATTTGTTATTGGTGCAAAATTTTGCAAGTGTGAGCACGCCCCTCCTCTCGATGGCCTCTGATTCCTGCCAGGCACTCAAATTATATCATTGTGGAATATTAGATGAATAATATTATTCGTTATATTTTCCTTAACTTAATTACAAAAAGTCCCACGTGGCATTATAGACCTTATAAATAAAAACACCGTCTAGTTATAGTATCAGGTTTAATTATATACACATACTTAAATATGTAATTTGATAAAATAGTAATTTACTTATTCATTATCTACTATTATACTTATCGAAATCATTCTTCAAATCAATCAATAGAAAAAGTAAAAATTTGTGCTATCTTATTTATATGAAAAAGTTCCCGATAGCCTATTCGTAACTTATATGCCAGATATGCTTTGACCAACACTCGATAACCAACCAGCGAGTTGCAGCGTCTCAAAAACGGCCATACGTTTCACTTACTGAAAAATTGTGTTATAAACATCAGAGTCATCCAATATTCCATGAGCAACTTTCTCAAGCTGTCTTATTACAAAACGTAGACTAAAGTTGAACTTGGTCAAAAATCTGCCTCACCTTTGTTTGCTAGGAAGAGGACAGAAACAGCATTAGATTTAAACCAAGACTAATTTTAGTCAACGTTTTGGAATAAGGCGGATAGTGCACAAGGCGGTACAGAGTTTGCCGAGTGGCCCCTTATGCTCCTCACACTCGTAACATCATCGATAAACCACCGGCACGTCGACATCCACGAAAAACTTGACTGCACTGTCCACCCACTAATAACTCGAATTACTGCAAGTGAAGTGACTGTAACCTGGCAAGTGAGCTCCAGTCAAGGTTTTCGTGGGGCTTGTCACAGGGAATCATAAAGCATGTATTTGATGCGTTCGTTGCTAGCGTTGCAAAATCCTTATACCAGGAGCACACAGCTCGGAGCTGCACTACTCTCCACGCAGATTTTAAGTTCGTTACAACATTGCGATACTGGTGTTTTAATCCGTACAAGTTGTAAGATCCCGCAGTCGACTACGTAAAGACTAACACGTTAAGAAGAAAAATAACACGTTAAGAAGCGTACTAATTAGCCCACAGAACCCCCCACCAGACTACTTAATTGGTTATAAAGGATGAGGACGAGAGTCATTGGTAGAAAGGGGTTGCGTTGAAATTACAGAAAACAACAAATACAGAATCATGCACGTGAGAACACCAACCAAAATGTAGCATACAAAAAAACTGACAGCTACTTTGAGTCGGTGTGCAAAACTTAGAGCTCTGTTATCGACCACCTCGTTCTCCCTCTTGCTTTACGCTCTACAAAATCCAATGCAGCCAGCTAATATTTGACCTTTTAAAATAAATTTTTGAACTTTTTTTAACAAGTCTGTCGTTTTTTCTTAGCTCATGTTATTATAATGTTTACGTGATCAGTAGTCTATTCGAGCAACGTGGTCTGAGTCAGTATATGCATCAGTGGTGCACACAGTTCTTTAGATAGGAAATGCGAAAGATAGTTTAAAATGTTGTCTAATGTGTCGTTATTAGTATTTAATTATTTAGCGTACACACACGCGGTGCGAGTGTAGTAGTGGAGTGGAGGGTAGTGTGGTGAGGACTGGGATGGTTGTATCGCGTGTGAGGCGGGTCGGGGTCGGGGCGGGGCGGGCGGGACTGTATACGCGTTGTGACGTGTTACGGCAGCGAGCGCGTGTGCGAGGCGGCCCCGCCGACGGCCCGCGCGGCACCCAAGACAGTGTCCGCGCCCGCGCGCACGCCCGCCGTGCGACGACTCAAGACCTGCGCTGACCGACTGAAGTATGTCCGCCCACACGATAATACACACACACACACACACACACAAACAAGAACACACTTCATGACTATCTCCAGCAGGTTACAGGCGTAACATTATTTCGTAATACACATTTAAATTTCATCTAATAGGATATTTTCCAAAATTTTAAAAACTGCTTATATTTAAAGACTGGGACAAACAATTGACCAGAAAAATAAAAATAAATTAATTAATGTCTTTTTTTCTCCGTTAAACCAATTAAAATTTAATTAATTTTCAATGGTTTTGAATTACCCGCCAAAACGCTCGGTTCGATGACGTCAACTTTGTGTTTTTGATGTTTCGAAACTGTGAAGCACAAAAATCTGGATTAGTAGCGAAGAAATTTGCAAAGTATTATACTATAAATTTATCCCGAATGTACAAAAAGTTAATCATTTGACCTTCAGACGATTAAATAGCTTACACAAAGTTGACGTCACACAGTAGATGACGTCGAACCGAGCGTTTTGGCGGTAAATTAAAAAATTCAAAACCATTAAAAATAAATTCAAGTTTAATTGGTCTTATGGAGAAATAAAGACATTAATTAATTTATTTTTATTTTTCTGTTAATTCGTTTGTCCCAATCTTTAAATATAAGCAGTTTTCAAAAAAATTGAAAATACCCTATTCTACCATCATAACAGAATAAAAAATATGCTGGTTGATTTAATTACATTTTGGCTCGACTGACTTCTTTATAACTAGCTGTGCCCCGCGGTTTTACCCGCGGTTTATTAGGGATATTTTCCCGCAATAAAACGTAGCCTATGTTTTAATCCAAGGTGTCGGCTAACTCCATACAAAATTTTATTAAAATCACTCTAGCCGTTTAGACGTGAAGAAGTAACACACATACACACTCACTAACTTTCGTTTTTATAATATTAGTGTGATTATAGAGGTGTTTTTGCCTTTATAGTTAGTAAAACTTAGAAAATAAATTCCTCATACATTTAATGTATTCGATCTTATTAATGTATTTAATAAGATCGAAGCAGGCATGCAGGTGTGATTGCTTGATACTTGGTGATAACTTCGTCGCATCAATACAAGACACATACGGACACTTTACTCGAGAATAAAAATCATTAGAAATACAACAAGAGACACAATACAACAAGCACATTTACACAATTTGTAAACAGCATTCGGAACCCCTTCTGTATCTTTTCATGTGTATTTATTCGATGCGAATTTTCTCTTTTTGTAGAAATAATCATACTGTATGCAGTTTCTCGTGATTTTATATCACTTTATCTAGTTGCTATGATGTAGTTTTAATTATAGGAAATTTTAAAAGTGTATCAAAGACAAAGCTTGCGTCGAAAATAGTCGAAATAAACAAATGTAAATACAGTTGGTGTATTAAAATATTGCGCCGCGGCGCAGTGATGACTGACAACAGTTGGTGTCAGTACATTATTGTTGTCGTGTCGAACGCATGCTCTCAGTGTGTGACGTGTGTGCTTCACTGTCTCTACCTGTAGTTATCTTAAGCACAATATTCGGCTTACTATGTCATCCTGTGCAATCAGGATTAATGTACACCAGCAAATACTTATTGAAAGTTTTGTATTTAACTGAAAGTTGAATATTTTAGGAACTTCACTTCAGAACGATTTTGTGTTGTATTTTCTAGTAAATTAACAAAGTTTACGACGATGGTGATAATAAATGATCCGTATAAGCAGCGATCAAACGAGGCTTGGTTAATAATATTAGTCTTTATTTCCAAACCATTACAAATGCCTAGGACAGAAAATATATTTTACCTAACAAATGGTGGCTAATTATTTTGTAGTATTGGTATTCCAATACTGTTGCATGTGCATGTTTGCGGGTAGTTTTCTGCGTGTACCTTCAGCAGATTGCTATAATTTGTGATCTGTTCCAACTTTATAAAAACAATAAATGATGTTTGTTTTATGTAGTGTAGCAGCACATGAGTAAAGAAGACATATAGGCAAAGCTTCATGCAGTGCGCGTTTGTGAGTGAGCACTGGCGCCCTCTCGTCGACAATAGACACGTTACGGACGACTGCATGAATCTTTGTCTTTGGGCCTTCTTTACTCGTCTGATAGCAAAGCTGTGAAGTTATCAGTGAGTGTGTAGCACGCGGATAGGCATTAGTTGCAGCGTAGCGACAGACAGTCGATCACCCCCCACAGTGATAGTCACATCCATATAGCAGAGCTCTCCTTCATCACCATCTTATATTTATTTAGCTTTCGCTGTTACCTTAGTTTATTCTTCAAAACCCTTTTCACGTACAGACAACTAATATTTTCTGTCATAACATAGCATATAGTTATTTAATAACTTTTTTTAAATAATAAACATATGAAATGCATGGATTTCGAACACGTTTTTAAATAATTAGAATTTGTCGCAACGATGTTTTGGGAACTTTTTATGGTATAATCTAGTAATAATTTTAAGTAATATGGTGTGATCAGATAATTACTTAAATTATAATCATGTAATACATATATACCTATGAGTGTGTGCTGAGATTGAAAGCGTTGTGTTCAGTTCAATATTAGTGGAGCAGAAAGAGTTGTATAAAAGTCGCGTTTAGAGTGCGATTCAAACTAATGGTGGCTGTGAAGTTAGCGCAAGTCGATGCGCAGTAAAAAAACATTTAGAGTAATACGGGCGCGCGCGGCATGACACTGAACTGAGTCTGCGCATAATAGGGATGATAACGGGGTTAAGTAAATTAAAATTCTTTAGTCCGCCAGTTGGATTATCAAAAAATAATGAACACATTATTTTTGTCTATCAACCAAAAAATTACAAATATAAAGTGCGTCAAAGTTTGGGAGTGGGGGCCTCGCGACGTCACTTTTTAGTAGAATTAAACGAAAGGGTGACGTCACGTGACATTTCAAATCAATATATTCCTATAAATAGTTGATTATGTGAGAAAGTAAAAAAAATGCTTTTGGTTAATCTACCTGAATGACGAAGAAAAAAATCAGTCATCACCCCTATTGTGCTCGTAGTTAGCTTCACAGCCGCCATTAAATTTTAGTGGTACTATAGTAAGTGCCGTGATGGTTTGGCAGGAACGTGCTAAAGATGTCAGGCGTCGGGGGCGGGGTTGGGTCAGGGGGCGGCTACCGGTCCGCCTACGGGGGCGCAGCGGGCGGGCCCGACCCTGCGCTCCATCAGGGACCTAATGACAGTCTGCTATTGTAAGTAGTATATTCACACTAATCGAGGAGCTCGATGGCGCAAGTGCATAGTGTGTTCGGCTGCGATCGTTGAAGTTCTAGTGGTCGGTCATTGGATGGCCGCCCAAAAATTTACTATCTCGAGCTCCTCCGTGCTTCGGAAGGTACGTTAAGCCGTTGGTCCCGGCTGCATCTGCAGTCGTCAGCACCCACCAATCCGCACTGGGCCCGCGTGGTGGGTCATGGCCCGAACTCCCTATTCCATCCATAGGGAAGGCCTGTGCCCCAGCAGTGGGGACATTGATAGGCTGATGATGATGTGCATACTAAGGAAATGTTTATAGTCCCAGTTATTTATAATGATATACTTTGAACCTTTTTCAACAATTGTAGTAAAAAACGAACATTTAAAAAAATATTTATTATTGAAGATTAATGTTGTAAGTTAAAATGCAATTTTTATAGACTACAATGAGGTAATTATCTAGCGTTGCGTACGTAAGTTGTTTATTAAACGTATCGAGTTATAAACAGTTATGTTGTAATAATGTAAAGGGAGCTGCGTCTGCCAACAAACTGCAATGCATTTTGGCGGAAGTGACAATTTTGTGTAACATAATAAATATACTTTTATTATTAATTATACTTATACTACACATATTTACATGATTAGTATTTATTTGTATTTTTTAATTTATTTATTTTACTATTATTATTATTGTGATTATTTAATTTGATTATCAGTTGTTTTTCTACTTCTGTATGTAATATGGATACTGCGCCTGAAATAAATGATTATTATCTTTATATATATAATTCTTCTGTGAGTGTGTATGTCACTGAACTTCTCTTAAACGACTGGACCGATTTTGATGAAATTTTTTGTGTGTGTTCAAGGGGATCTGAGAATAGTTTAGATTCACAATTTTGTCCGCTGGACAACCCCTATTTTTTTAGGGCGGTACGAAGTTCGCTGGGTCAGCTAGTTATTATATATGTAGATCACACAGGCAGAGAGCAAGGCTCTTCCTATAACGCTATTTTATTTCTTCTTCTCTCTCTCTCTTTTTTGTACTCTTTTGTATTACTTTAAATATAATCTGTCGCTCCAACAAGAAGGAAAGTCCGTTATGCCTTTCTTTCTGGCCGTAATTAGGATCATCAGCATCGGCCTATTAATGCCCCGACTGGTGGGGCACAGGTCTTCCCTATGGACGGAATAGGTAGATTGCGCCGTGGCCCACCACGCGGGCCCAGCTGGTGGGTGCTAACGACTGCAGATGCAGACGGGACCAACGGCTTAACGTAGCTTCCGAAGCTCTGAGGAGCTCGAGAAAATAAATTTTTGGTCACCTATCCAATGACCGACCACTGAGATAGTTTCTTGACTTCTACAATCGCAGCCTAACGCGCTAATCACTTGCGCCATTCCGCTATAAGTTAAATGAATCCGTTGTTACAGATTGGATTACCTGCCATGGAACGGGCCGAACCCGGAGTACTGCGGGTCAGCGGCGAAGACACACGGCGCGAGCCCCGGCCCGTCCGGAGTGGCCCGTGGGCCCGCCGCACTCGCCCGCGGGCCCGCCGGCCTCGCCGCCGGCTCCATATACCGCCGCATCAACAAGAAGACCGCCAACCTGGAGGTATTCTCCAACTGAAACGATGTCGACAACTCACGACCTCACACGAAACTAATCGAGTGTTTCTCTCTCTATAGGGTAATCGCTTTTCGTTAACGATTATAGGCAAGCCCTGGAGGTATTCTCCAACTGAAACGATGCCAACAACTCACAACCTCACACAAACTATAGTGCGATAAGGCTCTATATGAATGTGGGTGACAGTTCAGGGAGGGCGCGGCGCCACTGGGCCAAATTCTAGCATGAATATCCAAACACAGTATATCCTTGTCATTCTCTACAGAATGAAAAGGAGAGACTGATGTTAAGTTTAGTTTTAAGTTCAGAGAATCTTGCCAGAATCGACACCACTGTCTTCGTAAATTACCGTAAATGACATACAAAAGATGACCTTTACAGAAACGGCGGCTTTAGTTCAAATTTTCGCCACATTCATAAAGATCCTTGTTGTAATGTAGGGTCAGTTCGCCTGTTCGCGTCCATCGCCCAATTCGCGTCCATTTTACGGATCTCCCTTAAAAAATCCTCAAAAATAAGTAAACTAACACACTAATCAGACGAAAAGTAATTACCGCTAATACCTTAATATATAAGAGGCACGAACACATAGTCAAAAGGTAGGTGCGCCAAACAATCCCGATTAAAAAAAAATATTAGTCTCGGTTATCCATCAAGGGAGTGCGTACACGCGGGATGTTTAGATAAAAAATAGTGTGCAGCGGCGCATTCGATGGTAAGTTTTTTATTTTTTTATGTTAATTTTAGGATACATATCTGTTTCTAGACTTTTATAGTGAAGAAAGGAATGATAATAATTATAAATTTTCTTATGTTTTTTATATTTAATGAATAAAATAAGGTGGACGCGAATTACTACATCGAAATTACAAAACTTCCAATTTGCGTCCGCAATGGACGCAAACTATACCTACAGGGGATAATAATAAACCAAATTGCGTCCACTATTTTCGTTAAATACAATTAATTAATTGTAATTCAAAATATAGGTATTGATTATTATTATTATACATTATTATTAAGACTACGTGTTTTTAATGCTATTTTTAAATTAAATGAGTAATTCCAATCAATCAATCAAATACTTTATTTGTTTCAATCTTATTTTTTTTCTATTTGAGATGAGTTCTTCGGAGACAAGAAAGTAGAAGGAAAAGAGAATATACACAGAAGAGATTTAAAGAAAGCGAAATTCGAAAAAATTATAAATCGGTAAGGCACATAGCCATACTGTACAAAATCAGTGGGCGCAGACCAAATGAAGTAAAGAAACCGGGACCAGACACCACTTGATGCTACCCGAAATTTCTAACAAAGCACAAAAAGATAATCAAAGAACTCAAGCAACCAGATCTTCTGCTGCATGGAGTTAGTATTAAGAAGATAAAGAGCAGATCAAGAACGAAAAGCAGGAAGCAATACGAAAAAGAAAGTTAGAACGACTAGAGAAACAAGAACAGAGTTTAAAACACTCTCAAACGGTTCGTAAAACTGCTCCAAAACGAAAGAAGAAGATACATGCTCTTCAAGAAGTCACACAGGAAACGGTAAATCAGGAATTTAAGAAAGAAAATTTTCTGAATGTGACGATATACTAATTTCAGATGTAGAAGACGACGATGAGAATAACATAGCTTGTAATTTTAGGGTAAAATTAACAGAACTGATTACTGTTTATTCTTAAGGATAATTTTAAATTCAATCAATATTGAGAAGAATATTTTTTATTTTTTTAAAGTGATAATTTTAATGATAATAATGTTGGTTTTAATATTTATATTCTAAAATAAAGAAATTGTTAAAATAGGTACAATCTTTCTATACAAATTCTTAAGAATACAACCCCTATATTCCTTTTCTAAGGTGGTGGACGCTAAATGGTCCACGGGTGGACGCAATTTGGATTTTGTGGACGCAAAGTGGGTAAAACGCCTTATTCCGAAGTTATCTATTTAAATAAAAAAAATGGGTGCGTGTACTTATGTAGGCGCGTGAGAAGTTATCCTTCTTTGGTATCGTTTAAAATTAGTTTTTAATTGCATGCAAATAATTAATTACAATAAATTAATAAAAAGTCTGGAAAAGGACACAGTCAATAAAGTTCGTTTTAATTTGAAAAAATAAATAAATAATCAAAATATTCAATTAAAATCGCTACTGAATATAATTTATTAGAACATATGTGATTTGCACTTGTATGAAACTCAAACACGTATTCCGAATATACAAACTAGAAACATGTGGATAAATATTATAAATATGAATACCTATAACTGTTACTTTATTACAAAAAATAAAGATGTGGTTTTTGGTTCTACTACACCAATGGTCAAGAGATGGCGCTGTAGTCTCCTGAATCGCGCTTTGGTTCCGTTGTTCCAGATTAATAAATACTTTTGATATTATAAATATGAATACCTATAACTGTTACTTTATTACAAAAAATAAAGATGTGGTTTTTGGTTCTACTACACCAATGGTCAAGAGATGGCGCTGTAGTCTCCTGAATCGCGCTTTGGTTCCGTTGTTCCAGATTAATAAATACTTTTGATAGGCCTTCACAATGCAGTCATTAGCACCCACTAAATAGAGATTCTATTTTGTTGGTAGATTTTCTTAATGTGCGGTAAACACAAAAGTAACAGCATTTGTGTTACAGTGATGCGCGCGCATCTTAAAATGAGAGTGAAATCTCTCATCATTTTTTCATAGCGCGCCTAAAGAAGTATAACTTCAAAAACAATAGATGTTTCGAACAAAACTGAAAGTTAATCTTAAAATAGACTAATATAATGAACACATTACATAATTTTTTCATAGAAATTAGTGCTGGGATATTTTTATTATCGCCCTCAAACTTTCCAACTGCACTAAATGGACGCGAAAAGGCGAACTGACCCTAATTGAGTAATTTCTCTATAGTGTAATCGTATTTCGCTGACGAGCATAGGAAGTGGCAAACTTCTTGGTCAAGACCACAGACAACCTAACGCAGTAGACGTTTTTGTATGTGAAATTACTACTGCGCACGGTTTGTTGTCCATGGTTTATGCTATTGCGAGTGTGTATAAATACTATGAAAATAAATTTTCAAATGTAATATTGGTTTTCAAGTATACTTACATTGATGTGACTCAATACTTTAATATAAATATGCATTTATGTGTAGTAGGTACAAACTTTAAACATAAATTAAAACGTCCACTGAAAGTCTGTAAAATTACCAAAGAGTCGATGTACAATTGGTTCAAAAGAGTACTAAGGCGTTTACACGATTGATCGATACGATCACTATCGCTAGTCAATATTTATTTTTAATATTTTTTATTGTAAAACGAAACATTCCGTTCATATTTAATACTTTTGATGTATTAAAAGAGTGTCAAAATTTGTTTATTTATTATTATTAATAGTGGAGTATATTACATAATATTACAAAAATATATTTCAATATTGAAGTCGGACTTGGCCAGAAAGAGAATGAATTGTATTTTCATATTTATGTAATTTTTCGACTACTTAGCTTAAGATTTTGTAGTTTATTTTTTTGTGCGTTTCATATGTAATTTAACGTGTGATGACGCGTTTCCATGTAAGTTAATGTGTATATACATACACGCCATTAGTGCAATGTGAATCATAACAGACTGTGTTAAAAATGTATAAAGGATAAAAGTTGAATAAAAGCAACAAATTGTAATGGTTAGTGTACACTGTACGTAGATCTCATTGTTGATAAGTTGTTTAAGTAAACATTTGATTTATTATTAAATTTGTATAATGTTTTGTAGGTTTTGTTTGGCGGTAGACGCAACACAGGTGTTATTTGTATACTAAATCGTGAGGTCGCTGAAATTCTTATTAACACGTTTACAGAGCATAACGTTGTGTTATGGTTGTGTGCCGCAAACAGTAGGCCAAATGCCAGTTGTTTTAGATAACGGGAATAGCGAATATTTTACACTAGTACTGTTGAAATCATGTGTCAATAACGGACTTCCAGATGTTTTGGTGTAGGATAATCCATAATTTCATAATTTACGGAACCGATCTCAATACATAAATTAATTTAATGTATTTTTTTAATTGTCAGCTTTGACGAGCCACTAGGGTACAGAAAACATGGTCAAAAATTGTCCTGAAAAACTACTACTTTTAGACGAAACTGCTTAGATGAAGTGTATTTATTGTATACCGTGTAGATATAAATTGTCGTGGATATCTCTGTGTACATGTAGTGTACCCTAAAATAAAACATATATTTCTATCGACATCTTCATAAATGAGACTTCATAGTAAACTACCTAAAGTTAGCCAAAGTCTTTGATTTATACGCCTGGATAGAGCAATTCAAATAAACCATGCAAAGAAACGGCTCATCTACGCGCAATATGTTTATCAGATTGTATGAAAGCAGTCAATGTGTGCGTATGTAGCGATGAGCATTATCTACCATATGCAATAGATATATTTTTTGCCGCTTCCGTGCAGTTAATACAGTATCTAGGTGTATCTATCAAAGGCGAAGTAACTATGAGCTAAATTGAATCCTGCATCTAGGCAACCTTTATTTTTTTTAATCATTATATAAATAGTAAAAAGCTACTTTAATCACAAAGTACTTAGGCTGTTTCCCAAACAAATTGTCACGTTATTTTTATAAATATTCCCAGTTTTTTTTTTATATCGAGGTAGGCAAATGACTCTATCCCACCTGATGTTAAATGATGATAAAGTATTAGTCGTTATTAGTTTTCTATATTTTTTTTATTATTAACTACCAGTATTAAAATTTTGAGTTGTATGTACCCCACTCTTCCAATATTTTTTTAGTTAGACTAATAGCGTAATATCATTCGAAAAGTATTATTTTTGTCTACAAATAGGCACATACATAGTAATAGTATTAAAGAAAATTGTAAAAGCAATACTAACGGTTATTTTCACCATTTCCTTATAAAGTTTGAGATAGTTTTATGGCATATACTAGGTATCTAATCTAACAGGTAAAGGTTACAGATATGCGCTGCTTTATCTGCCAAGTATTTCTATTCAAGACATGTGAAACCAACATTTTTAGTTTGTCTAGAATATAAGTTCCAAAAATGGGCTTTCCGGGACTTTATCAGAATGGCCGTAAAGATTATTAAGTGTTGGAAAAACATAAAAATGACTGTTAATAGACCTCTGCTGCAGTAGCGATGCGGCGTCGTAGTGGCCAAACATCTTTATTGCTTTTAGGCATACATAAAATATAAACCTACGTGTAATTGTATCGCTCCAAACATTCCCTTAACCTGTCGTGCCGATTTTCCGCTCGAATTGTCCCCTATCTTGGAAGTAACATCCACTCTACAGAAGAATGTTGCATCTTCTAACAGCGAATTAAGTTCTCAGGAATCCACGGGGTTGTGTACGTATGGATATCGCAAGCGTCTCTAGTCTAGCTTACCATCAGATGCGACTAACAAAATGTTCTTTTGCCACCTTTTTATACATTAAAAAACTTATCTTCCGAGAACTACTTACATGACTGTTCTTTTTAAGACACTGCGCAGGCGAAGGACTTTTGTCCGCGGAAGACTAAAGTCCCTCAATCATGAAAAAAATGTCTGTCTGAAGTTTTAGAAAAGCTCACGCTTTTCAAATTACGTTGTGTTGTAAGAAATATGAATTTTAAGAGAGAAGACGTTTTAAAAGAGAATTG